TTTTTTAAAGTCAATTTTAGGTTTACAGAAGAAAAATGTGTAAAGTCCAGTGGATTTCAATGAGACATCATTTTATTTTTATTTGATTGGCAAATGAAAATGTTTGCTAACACGAAGAAAGGCTGTGTGTCCCCATGTCTCACAGACCTGCTGGTAAACCAGAAAACCAAACTCACTGCTGTCAGGTTGACTCCTAGTGACTGCAGCCCTCCACTGGGCTTCTGAAGCTGACTTTTGACAGGAAGAGACGATCTAACTTATTCCCATGGAGCACTTGGTGAATTCAAACTGCAGATCTTTGGTATTACAGCCCAGTCCATTAAACATTACATCAGGAGAGCTCCCTACACCTTGCTGGTAGGGTATGTCACTAGACCCTCATGTTAGCATTCTCACGTAAATCATACCCATTGTGTTCAAGTTGATTCATACCCATACCAACCGTAGGGAGCTCTGGTAGCCTAGTGGTAAGAAGCTCTGCTGCAATCCCAAAGTGATGTGGTTCAAATCCACCAATTGTTCTATGGGGGAAAAGGACCAGCAGTCTTCTGTGCAGTTTGTTGCCTCTGAAAACCCAGTGAAAGGTCAGCCACGGATCAGTTCTACACACAACATATAAACCAGAGGGACATCATGCTTGGGAGGGTGGAGGGACCGTGCAGGAGAGGAAGGCCCTCTATGAGGTGGATTGATTCAGTGACTGGGGTAATCGGGATGGGTGTGTCAGAGGCCATGCGATTGGCACAGGATAGAGCAGGGTTTAGGGCTGTTGTACATAGGGTCGCTATGAGTCGCAAACGACTCCACGGCACATAACAACAACAACAACAAGACAGAGTAGAACTGCCCTATAGGGTTTCCAAAGGTATGGTCTTTTTAAAAAAAAAAATATTATTTGAAGGGAAGAACGAACTGGAGGGGAAGGGTGGGCAGGGAGAAAAGTGCAATAGTGAGTGAATGGAAATCCAAAATCTCTGTAAATGTTCATTAAGATTAATTTTAAAACAAAACAAAAACACAACAAACCCCAAGACATTTGAGCTGGATTTTGAAAGGGCTGTGGCACAAAGGGTATTTTTGCTGATGTCAGATGTATGTTGACTGAAATCAGAGAATACTTAGATGTTTGCTTGTGTTTTATTGACTATGAAAAGGCATTTCACTATTTGGATCATAATAAATATGGCTAACATTGAGGAATATGGAAATCCCATAAAAATTATTATTTAAGGTAATTTTTCATTGAACCATTCATACACATTTTGTTCTCTAACATTAAATATAATGGAATTTCACTTTCCCTGCTTCCTCCCTATAATTCTGATTTCCATCCATTCTTTTTATTTTTTTATTTTTCCCCCATCCATCCTTCTATACGTCTTTCTGTGCCTTCACTTTGTTTAGTGACATTTTGTCACTCACCTTCCCTTCACCATATTAATGTGTCCATTACCTGTTAACTGACATTTACTTCCCTCCCTCTTCTCCCCCTTCCCTGGTAATCATCCAAGGATGAGTCCAGCTGTTTGTAACCTTTCTTTAGCTTTTTATAATTGTAGTCTGATATGATACCTGTCATTTTGTAACTGACTTATTTCATTTAGCATAATGTCCGCTGGATTCATCATTAACATGTCATGCAATGTTTCTCCACCGTGTGACTATACCAGAGTCTTTTCATCCATTTTTCCACTCATGGATACTAGAGTTGTTCCCGTCTCTTTGCTCTTAGGAATAATGCTGCAGTGAACATAAGTAAGTGTGCACGTATCTGTTCATGTCATGGTTTCATTTCTCTAGACTGTGTACCTAGTCAGTGGATTGCTGGATCGAATTATACTTCCATTTCCAGTTAGCTAAGAGAGCATCAAACAGCTTTCCCTAGTGACTCCACCACTTTATGTTCCCCCAGCAGTGTATGAGAGGTCCAATCTCTTCTTACCCTCTCTAACATTTATTTTTTTAATGCCTTTTTGAACTTTGTTATTGTTGAGGTGAGATGATATCTCATCGTTGTTTTAATCAGGATCTTTCAATAGCTATTTTTCACTTAGATCCACTTCAACATGCATGCTAACAGTAGTTAAGACATTAAAAGATGTATTGCACTGAGAAAATCTGCTGTTAAAGGCTCTCTGAAGTCCTACAGAGCAAGGATATCAGTTTAAAGACTAAGATGTGCCTGATCCATGCTACAATTTTTTTCAGTTGCTTCCTGTCCATCTGAAAGTTGGGTAATGAATAAGGATGAGAGAAGAATCAGGGCCTTTGAACTGTGGTGTTGGATAAGAGTACTGAATGGATTTCCGAAACAACAAACAAGTTTATCTTGGAGGAAGTGCAACCGGCGTGCTTCTTACAGGCAAGGACGGCGAAACTTCATCTCACATACTTTGGACGTGTTGTCAAGAGAAGCCAATTCTTGGGAAAAGACTTCAATGGAAGATCAGAGCAAGAGTGGAAGACCCTCAAGAAGGTGAATTTTCTCAGTGACTGTAACAGTGGGCTCAGGCACATCTGACATTGCCTGGTGGTGCAGGTTAGGCTGCCATGAGCTGTCATCAGCTAACCCTCACAAGAACAGAGGCTAACGGTCTTGAGCATTTCTTCCGGTCATCTCTTGGCCATCTTAATATCTTCTTTGGTGAAGTGTCTTTTCATGTCCTCTGGCCATTTTGTGAGCAGGCTGTACCTCTTTCTTGTTGAGGTGTTGGAGTAAGGCTGAGATCTTTATGGAAGCAGGTCGTTTTTCCCGTGGACTGTTTGTGGACCTTTTGGTTAGCAGCCAAGTCTTAACTGTCACACCCCAGGTTCATTCTCCTACAAGCTCATCCCCAGAGTCCACCCAAGAGAAACTAACACAGACCAAGAAGACCCTAGCAGCACCATTCACAACTGTGAAGACCTGGACACAACCCACGCCTGTCATCAGGAGAAGAGATGAAGGAACCCAGCACCATCACACAGTGGGATACTATACATCCGTCAGAATGGCTGAGCTAGTATGCCACAGCCACTTAGATACCCTAGCAATAGAACAGTATGGTGGGAGGGAAAGTAATCCTGGAAAATTACATATCCTTTGTATATTTAAAAAATTAGCAGCAAAACCCCCTACAGGCCACACTGTGCCCCTAGAACTCCATGTGTGTGTGTGTGTGTGTGTGTGTGTGTGTGTGTGTGTGTGTGTTGGGCACATACGTTTGCATGTTAACCTCAATCGTGTAAAGAAAAGGGTTGCAGATGTTTCCCAGCCCCCACCCATAACTTTCTCTGGAAATTGTTCCAAGTTTACGCAGAATCATCTCCTGAGTCCGTCTCAAAAGGACACCCCCAACTACCTCCGTATCTTTTCCAAGGCTTTTCATACATTCCTTGGGGAAAACTCGCTCTTTGCCGTTGAACTGGAAGTGACTCACAGCTGACCCTCCAGCAGGTGTTCAGAGGCTGTAAACCGCACGGGAGGAGATTACCCCGCTTCCTCCCAGGTGGATTCCATCCACCTGCAGCCTCAGAGATTGCAGCGCAGCTCCAAGCCCTCAAAGCGCTGGCCTTCCCTGCTGTATTTGTTTTTAAAAAGAAAGGAGGAAAAGCCCGGCAGTTAACCTCCAACGACTTCATTCCACTTTACGGAAACCTTCCTAATGTCAGCTCACAATGTGAGACCCAAAGCGAAGTTTGAGGAAAGTAGTTCTGCTTTAGGGAAATGTTTAAAATCAAGTAAAGAGGCCTCCTGGAAGGCCCTCCCCTGCACAGAGTCAGCCGTACAGGACGTGGGCCCAAACTCGCCACCCCCAAAACCCCTCCGGCGCCTCTGATTTCTCAGTGCAGCTTCCAGGCAGGCCCCGCCCAGGCCCCCTGCCTCCCCCTGACCTTGGATGGAGTCTCCACTGCCCAGAGCCACGTGACCCCCAGGTCCAGGCACGCTGCGGGCACCGCCAGGTCTTCTGTGCCTCGGACGTGCGGGATGCCAACACCTGGGGGCGGAGGCGGTCTCCTCGCTGGCGGTTGGACCGCGGATATCTGGTGCCAGGAGGGGGTCCCCTCGGGTCTCATCAACTTCGCTGCCAGTCTGAGCACGAAGGCTAATTAACCCAACCCACGAGGGAGTACTCCTCAGTCCCCAGCCGGGTGGAGCCCGCGCCCCTGCGGGCCCCAGCCCAGGGGCCCCAGCCGGCGAGAGGGGCGCAGGAGGGGACACTGAGGACTGGCCGCTGACCGCGCCGTCTGCACCTCCAGCTTTCGGGATCTGCATTTTTAAGCGGGTAACTCTCCCGGGTAACCAGGTGGATCTAGAGGCGCTCGTTTTGCACTTCCAAAGTGGAGATACGCGGCGGAGGTCGGGCGGCCCAGCCAAGCGCAGCCTCCGCGCCTGGCGCGCTACCTGGGGAGCGTTGCCAAAAAGGCGCGCCCACGCCCGAGTCCCGGTCCAAACCAATTAACCGGACCCTGACGGCGTGACCCGGCGGCGGCCCGCGGGGCCACCTGGGAGCTTGTTAGGGACGCGCACACCGGGCCGGGCCCGCCCCGCCGCAGCAGAATCTGCATTTTAACGAGCTCCCCAGCGGTTCCGCGCGCATTAAAGTTGGAGGAGCGCGGCGCTGCTGCCATTTTAATGGGCCGGCCTATCACCTGGGGAGCTCGTTAAGATGCACACGCGGTTCCTCCAACTTTAATGTGCATGCGAATCACCTAGGGAGCTTGTTAAAATGCAGATTCTGATGCAGCGGGTCTAGGGCGGAGCCCGAGAGTCTGCATTCTAAGGAGCTCCTCGGTGGTGCGGAGGCCCCGGGGCGCACACGCGCTTCCCGGATCCCCAGCTCCGGGCTCCCCGCCAGTCGGCGGCCAGCGCGCTGGATAGATCCCGTCGCGCGGCTGAGGACCAGAGCTGCCGGGTTGTGCGCGCTCCGGCCGAGTTGGGGGGTCATTTCCGAACTCCGAGAATCCGTCCTGTGTCCTAGGCCACTCGGAGGGATTCTCCGAGACGAGATTCGCGCGCCATGTCGAGGCGCAAGCAGGCCAAGCCCCAGCACCTCAACTCCGAGGAGCCGCACCCCAAGCGCGGGGCGCTGGCGGGGGAGCCGGGTGAGTAGCTCTGCGGACTCCAGGTCGCGGGAGGGCGGGGTTCCTGGACGTGCCCCCCAGCCGGAGCGGGTGCGAGGGCCACGCAGGAGGTGTGGAAAAGCGCCCGGAACTCCAATCGGGCGCGGTTTCCCGTGTTGTGTTACACCAGGTTGTAAATTACACCTCCTGGTGTTAACTAGGCCCCTCCCAGCCTGGAGCCCTCCAGCCGCTCCGCCCTAGAACTGGGAAGCCATGCTTCACCTTCTAGACACCTGGGCAGGAGCTGTACACCCCTTTACTCACATCTTCGTAGTGAAAGGTCACCCGGCCCCCGACATTCTGGACCCTGCGCTCCTGAAAGCCAGGGATACTGGGTCCCGCTTGCGGAGCGCCCTGGCGGTCACGGGCGATATCTACGAAAAGTCTGCTGTGTCTGGAATGTGTAACCTGGTGCGTGGCAGCAGGGCACAGCCCTGAACAATAAAGACAAAATTGCAGCAGTGGCGCACTGGTAGACGCTTGGCCCGGTCCTCAAAGATCGGACTGGTTGGAACTCTCTATCAGCTGTGGGTCGGTCAAAGGGAGAGGAATGTGACGGTCAGCTCCCCTCCCGGCTGCAGCGATGGGATCCCTGAGGGACTAGGCTCCTGTCCGGAAGGGTCACTGTAAGTGTCCTGTAGGGTCACTGTGAGTCCAGATGGGTCCGCGAGGGCGAGAAAGATTAAACTGGCAATGCGTTAAGTGGAATGACGTATATTGCATTGAAACAGATGAGGGAGAGATCTGTTTAAAAGGGACATACGAATGGGTATTCTTGTCATGACAGGAGTCCAGAGTGAAGGCTGCATCGTGGAGTTGACTTGGGGGGAGGAATTGCATAACAATGAAAGAGTTTTTCTTTTCAAGAAGAATGATTTGGGGGTGACGGGATGGGCAGGGGGAAAAGTGCAACAATGAATGACTGGAAACCCGAAGTCTGTAAATTTTCATGAATAATTTTTTAAAAGTGTATGAAGATGAGGTCTAGGAAAAGTATAATAAAGCCAGGGGATAGGTGTGAGGCTTGGAGACAGGGGACAGGGACCAAGAAATGAGTGAAGGGACCACATTCAAGGCCAAAGCAGCCTCGAGAGTGTGGGCCCAGCAGAGGGTGGTGAGGGGCTTGGGTCCAGCAGGTCCCTGCAGGCAGGACAAGTGACCTAGGACTGTGTGATGTGGAAGCCACTAGGATTTGGAACCAGGCTGTGACTAGTCAGTGCTGACCTGGGCTCCCAAGTGGAGAGAGAAAGAAGGTGGAGAGTGGAGGGGACAGGATGTGTCTAGGACCCCTGGTGGTTCAGTGGTTAAAGAATTTGGCTGCTAATCATGGGGTCTGTGGTTTGAACCCGAGGGCTTCTCCCTGGGTGGAAGGTGATGGCAGGCAGGCTGCTTCTGTAAGGATTTGCTCAATGGAATCCGGTGAGTGTGGAACCCAGCAGATGCACCATTGGTGTCCAGTGTCCTAGGCTGTCATTCTTTTAAAAAAAAAAAATTATTAGTGTATGTGTGTGTACTGTCAAATCGGATCTGACTGGTACAGGAGGAGATTGCCCCCCCCCTTCTCCAGCAGAGGATCTGGTGGATTTGAACTGCGCACCTCTGGGATTGCAGTCCAGTTTCTTGCCACTAGGCCACCAGAGCTCGCCCAGGCTGTCATTCTTTTTTTTTTTTTTTTTATTGGGTTTTTTTGTGTGTGTACCGTCAAATCAGATCTGACTGGTACAGGAGGAGATTGTTCCTCCTTCTCCAGCAAAGCATCTGGTGGATTTGAACCACGCACCTCTGGGATTGCAGTGCAACTTCTTGCCACTAGGTCACCAGAGCTCGCCCAGGCTGTCATTCTTGATGTTAGGGGACTGCCCAGCTTTCTCCCACAGAGCTGCTGCAGGGCTCCTGAGGGATAGTGCTGCTGTGCCCTACAGAGTGCCTTCAACAGTGGGTCTGAGAGCAGAGGGTGCTGCTTTGCTCTGTGGATCCTTGGTGTAGAGCCTGTGGGGTCGGTGCTTACCCCTGGCTCAATCTCTCCGTTGTTTGGGCCCTCAATAGCTTAGATCAGGAATTTGCATTTCCGACATGCTTCGCCTTAGTGGTTAGGAAGTTGGACTTCTAACCCCAAGGTGGGTGGTTCAAATCCATTGCTTGTTCCAGGGGAAAGATGGGCAGGCTCCTCCCGTGTGATGACCAGACTCTAAAAACCTGCTGGCGTGTCAGCTATGAGTTGATTTTAACTGGGTCACAGTGAGAGTGAGGATGTCTTGCACTCAGTGAAGGGCATCAGTGAAGGTTCAAGACCTTTTCTTTTCTTTTTTTTCCCCTCCTTGGATAGGTAGTACTTCCCCCTCACCCCTTTGTTTTCAAACAAGAGCACCAGAAGTGGGGAAGGGTGTTTAACTAGACTCTCTCCTCTTCCCCATCCCCTCCTCATTTTTCTGGCTCCAGCAGGGAGAGGTTGGGTCCTTTCTCCCTGAAGACTCAGAACCCCAGGGGTGCCAGCTCTACTTTCACCCTCACCAACTTACCACCATGGAGGAGATGGATCGTTTAATGAAGCCTTTTCTGTAATGTTGTTATTAGATGGCTTCTGGTCAACTTCCACTCATAGAGGCCTTAGGAACAATAGACCTGAGCCCTGCCCTACGCTGTGCCATTGACACACTCTGACACACCTAAGCCCATTGCTACAGTTACTGGGCGATCCATCTAGTTGAAGGTTTTCCTCACTTTGGCTGCTCTTCCATTTTTCCAAGCATGATGTCCCTCTCCAAGGAATAGCCTCTCCTAGCAACATGCCCAAAGTATGTGACAAAGCTCACCATCTATACCTCGAAGGAGCACTCTGGTTACACTTTCTCCAGGACAGACTTATTTATTCTCTTTGCAGTCCATGAGATATTTGGTACTCTTCTCCAACACCACAGATCAAAGGCATCGATTCTTCTTCTGCCATCCTTAATTATTGTCCATCTCAGATGTGAACAAGTGATTGAAAAGGCCATGGGCTGAATCAAGTGCAGCTTGGTCTTTAAACTGACATCGTTGTTTTTTTAGTACTTTGGAGAGGTCCTTGACAGCTGACTTTTCGAATGCAATACATCTTTTGGTTTCCTGAATGCTGGTACCAAGGTTGTTGATTGTGGATCTGAGTAAGAGAATTGTTGACAATTTCAGTCTTCTTTCCATCTATCATGATGTTGTCTATCAGCCCAGTGGTTTTGTGTTTTCTTGATGTTGAAATGTAATTCATATTAAAGGCTGTAGACTTTGGAAGTAGGAGTGGCATCCACTTCCTAAAGAACATGCCTCGGGAAACTCCATGAACTTTGATAAATATTGGACGTTGTAGAGGGGCTCCAGGCCTTTTGTTCAGAGGGTGGTCATGAGTCATACTCGACTCAAAGGCACTCAACATCAACAGTCTTTGATCTACAGCAAGTGTTTCAAGTTTTTCTCACTTTCAGGTTCTGTCAACTGCATAACTCAAGTTGTTGATGAATCTTCCTCCAATCTTGATGCCACATTCTCCTTCATAGGTGCAATAAAGTCAGAACCAACTCATAACTGACCCTCCAGCAAGTTTTAAGAGACAATAAGTAAAATTTGAGGAAACTGCCCATCTTTTTCCCTCAGAGCAGCTGTTAGATTCAAACGGCTGACCTTTGGGGTGACTGCCTGGCATACCATCAGAGGTTGGATAGGTAAGTTCAAACGAGAAAGCTCTTCTCTGATGGGGACAGGACTCCTGCTAGTTCCTGAGACCTCCCAGAGTTATCGAGTGAGATCCAGAGGAATGTTCTGTGTTGTATATAGATCACAAGGCGGAAGGGGGCAGGGAGGTGCATCAAAAGCAGAGTGAAATCAAGACCCACTCTGAAGTTCCCTCAGCTCTCATCCTAGAATTTCTCCCAGCTGATATATTTCAGCCATCACCTTGTGATCGATCTGTGGCAACCACCTAGAGGATTTTGACGGATGTTGTTGTTATGTGCTGTTTGAGCTGCTTGTGACTCATAGCGACCCTATGTACAAGAGCCCTAAACCCTGCTCTATCCTGTGCCAACCTCACTGCTCTGACACACCTACTCCCACCATCACAGTCACTGAGTCAATCCATCTCATCAAGGGTCTTCCTCTCCTGCGCTGTCCCTCCACTCTCCCAAGCATGATGTCCCTCTCCAAGGACCGGTGCCTCCGTGCAACACGCCCAAAGTATATCAGATGGAGCTTCAGAATCCCTGCCTCCAAGGAGCAGCCCGGCTTCAACCTCTCCAGGACAAACAAGATGGATGGACCTAGCAATGGTCTAGAGTGCGGCGGAGATGATGAGGATGGTAGAGGAAGAGCGAGCTTGTTCCTAGTGTCCAGATGCGTTTTAGGCAACCTGCCTGTCCCTAACAGCAGACCTGCTGAATGAAAGCTCAGTCAGCAATTTGTTGTTTATAGGGTTGGGATGGACTTCAGTTGACTTGACCACATCTAGTAACAACCGCCCCAGGTCTGCTGAATGAAACACTGGTCCAGCAATCAGTTGGTCATGGGGCCGAGAGAAGCTATAGTCAACTTGCCTGCACCTAACGCCACCACCCCCAGATCTACTGGGTGAAAAGTGGTCCAGAAAGCCATGTCTTCACAAAACCCCTCCCCCCACGTGACTCGCGTGCTGCCGTTGGAGAACTACAGTAGCTCAATGGCTAGGTGTGCAGCTGCTGACATAAGGGTCGGTGGTTTGAAACCACCCGTGACTCCACAGGAAAAAAAGTTGTGGAGATCCGCTTCCATGAAGATCCCAGCCTTCCATGAGGATCTCGACTCTTTCCTTAGCTTTTGTAACAGTGGTCTCGGGGCAGTTCTGCTCTGTGCTGTAGGGTTGCTGTGAGCAGGCATTGACTTTGGGTAATGGATTTGGCTTTTGGGGGCGACTGTGCTTTTCCAAGGTCAATGAGTCTCATTAAAGTGCAGCTTGATCTCAGAATAAGGATGGAACCTACCTTCTGTCATGATCTGCAGAGAGAGGAACAGGGTGTTCAGGACCTTGACCTTTAACTCATACTACCTCATTTTAAAAAAAAATGAAGATCAGACATTGACAGCCCCTTTTGGGGTCAGAATTGTTTCTTTTATTTAAATTTCTTTGAAAAAGAAATATCTTAGGAGTACTTTTCTAGAGAGGTTTTAAACAGCCTATGTGTTAGATTGCACATATGAAGTCATATTCCCAGACCAGCAAAATGATACTTTCACATGGTTCAACTTCCTAAAGTATGGAAACGGGTAGCACAACTCCCAGGTACCCATTCCTTGACTGTATCAATGAACTACATAGGGCCAGTGGTGCTATTGGTTTTTGATCATGATTTGAGTGAAGGTTTACAAACCAGATGAATTTTTTCATTCAACCATTCATTTGCCTTTCTCCCCTATGACATAAATCTCAATACTTGCAATATCACCACAATTTTGCCACTTCCCTTTTCTTCTGGTTTCCTTTGTACCTGCCTTGCCTTCTTCAGTGATGTTTTAGTGACTGTTGCCATCCCCTTCACTCCTCTTAATATGGGTCTTTGTATCTGTTTACTCAGTTTTGCTCACCTCTCCCTCCCTCCCTATCCCTGGTAACCATCTAACTTTCAAGTTGTATGTCAACCTTTCCTTAACTATTCCTGACAGTGGTCTTATACAATACTTGCCCTTTTGTAAACAGACTTATTTCATTGAGCATGATGTCTTCTAGACTTACCCACATTAGGCAGTTTTTTGTGGATTCTTTCTTGTTTTTACTGTTGCATAATACTCTATCTTGTGACTGGACCATAGTTTCTTTATCCGTTCATCCTTTGATAGACACTTAAGTTGTTTCCATTTCTTTACTATTGCAAATAATGGTGTACTGAACATGGGTGTGCATATATCATCCATGTGGCAGCTTTTATTTCATTGGGATATATACTTAATAGTAGGATTGCAGGATCAAATGGTATTTCTTTCCCAACTTTTTTTTTAGAAAGAAAATATAATTTTTTTTTACATTTTTCATGGGATTTATTGCAACCTCCTCAACAGCACTCTCTCTACTTTCTTTGTGTGTTTCCCATTTCCACTTGTCCTTTTCTGTCCTTGCCTGTCTTCTGGGTTGGTTTTTTTCTTTTTATTATTATTTTAATGAAAATTTATAGAGATTTTGGATTTCCATTCATTCATTGTTGCTATTTGCAACTTTCTAAGGAAACACCAAACTGCTTTCCATATTGGTTGTACCATTTTACATTTCCACCAGCAGTTTATGATCATTTTAACTTCTCGATTCTCTCACCTCTAATACTATAACTTACATAGTTACAGTAGAGCCAGCTCACCACCCAGTCTGTCAGTCAACGTTTGAATGTGAAGGCTAAGGTCACCTTTTAGGGAAAGCCCCTGGGTGGCTCGGGTAGTTAAAGCTTGTCTGCTTACCAAAACAAAGTCAAATCCAGTTGTCCAGAGCTGACAATGAATAAGGATGTCAGAAGAAGAATTGATGCCTTTGAGCTGTGTTAGAGAAGAATATCCCATAGACTACCAAAAGAACAAACAGATAATGTCTTCGAGAAGGTGCAGCCAGAGTGTGCTCCTTGGAGGCAAAGATGATAAAGCTTCTTCTCATATACTTTGTGATGTTGCTAGCAGAGGCTGTTCCTTGAATAGGGACATTCTTGGGAAGGTGGAGGGATAGTGAAAGAGAGAAGAAGACCCTCAACCAGATGGATTGACACAGTGACTGCTGCAATAGGCTCTGGTATGTCAGGAATGGTAAGGATGGCACAGGATAAGAGAGTTCAGATCTTTTGTTCATAGGGTTGCTGTGGATTTTATTCGACTTGATAGCAACTAACAATACACCGTTACCAACTTTGTTCTTTGCTATTTTGTTGAACTTTGATCTTGTTACTGTGGTGAGAAGCTAACACGTGCTCTTTTGGGTTGTATCTGACTATTCCCTGGCCCAGATAACTTAGAAAGATCAGAGATACACTACAAATCATGTGACTCATCTATACTTCTGTGTATCCTTGGAATACAAGGATTTTTAAAATTATATTTTTAAAATCATTTCCTTAAAGAAACATAAATTCCTTTCATCAGTCTTTCAGCGTTTGTCTCACTGAAATGTTTATTGTGTACAGGTTTGTTGATAAACACTACAAAACGTACCAATCTATGCACATACAATTCATGCGACTGATTGTGTTAATAGGTGTCCCGTTTAGATGTGTGGTTTTTTTAAATGGTTTTTACCATCGGTGTAAACTCATTTTCTCTTAAACTTCTCATCTAACCTTTCAAATTGCTGCTGTCACGTGGTTTCATTCACCCACACATTGCTGCATGTGGATGAATCTTGACAAGAACGCAGCCCTCAAGGCGAACTCAGATGGCTCTTAGCGTGTGTTTGCTTCAGATCCTTGTGAGATCCTGGTCCTGCACCTCACCACCTCTGGCTTCCTGTCTTTTCCTTTGTCTGTTTTCCTTTTAAAGTATTTGTTGCCACAACTGCATTTTGTGTGTAGAAAAATGGAGCTTGAATTATGTTCTGTGAATGGAGCTACCGACATGAGTCCAGCAGATTCCAAATGGAAAAGAAACCTCTAGAAACAGAAGCTTGATATTGTCAGCTGGGGTTGGCTGCTCCTTGGAGGCAAGGATTCTGGGGCTTCGTGTGACATACTTTGGACATGTTGTAAGGAGAGACAGGTCTTTAGAGAGGGACATCATGCTGGGCAGAGTGGAGGGACAGCGCAGGAGGGGAAGACCCTCTATGAGATGAATTGATTCAGTGACTGGGGTAATCGGGATGGGTGTGTCAGAGGCAATGAGATTGGCACAGGATAGAGCAGGGTTTAGGGCTGTTGGGCATAGGGTCGCTATGAGTCGCAAATGACAGCACATAACAACAACAACAACAACATTTTGTTTTATTAATTTTTTTCATGTTGTTGTTGTTAGGTGAGGATTCAGAAAAGCAAGAATTCCTGCCCTCCATGCGGGAGAGAGTAGGGTTTGATTCTGAGCCAGTGCGCCTGCTGTACAGCGTCCAGCCATCTGTCAGTGGATCTTGCTTGTTGCTGTGATAAGTTTAATGGCTTTTCCAGACAAAGACTAAGAAGAAAGGTCTGGCCATCCACGTTCCAAAAACCAGCCAATGAAAACCCAGCAGATCACAGCCCTCCAATCCCATCGCATACAGGGTTGCCATGAGCAAAAGGCTGACTCGGCAACAGCTGTCAATAGCATTTTACAGAAAATGTTCACCTGCAGCGGATCTGAAATTTTTAAAAACTGATTCTTTACAGCTTTGTTTGAGAAGGACTGCTGTGAAGTTTTGCTGCCTGGCCTCTGCTGATTCTATCTCCATGGCATTACCAAATTCTGTTTCAGTCTGTCTGGGGTAGACAGCTTCTCAGTAGAGGGTTGAATTGGAATGAACCCGTTGGAACCTCAGCTGAAAGGAGGTGGGGTAAGCCCACACTTGCAGTCCTGGGGAGACTTCGCATGGTGGCGGTAGTGGTGACAGCTGAGCCAGTAAGTCACACTTCGTGTCTTGATTTCAGCTGCAGAACTAGACGAGGCTCCAAAGCCGGCCTGTCCTGCCGCAGAAAGCAGTGATGCCCAGCAGACGCCTGTCACCTCTGTCCCCTCAGAGGCAAAGGAGCAAACGGCCACTCTCGGCGAGAGGACGTTCAACTGCTGCTATCCAGGTACAGGCTAACCCCCGCGTGCTGAGCCCTTTCTCTGGGCTGAGCTGGCTGTGTGCGTGCTTCCTGATTCCCTCCCGAGCTGACCCTCTGGACCAGCTGACCCTCCGTATGAGCTGAGAGCCCCCCGCAGGAGCCGAGCCTCAGTGGTGTGGCCCAGACACTGGAATGTATGTGTCCTGAGTCCTTGGTACCCAGAGCTCAGGGAGGGACTCCCCAGAAGCTCAGCTTTAGAGAGCTTTCTTTGTGAGGGGGCCGGTTAGAAGTTCTTCCTTCTCTTCTAGGCTGTCACTTCAAAACTGTTCACGGCATGAAAGACTTGGACCGCCACCTCAGAATCCACACCGGTGAGTACCTGCTCGTGTGTCTGCTGTGTTAGTGAGGACGCAGGAACAGTCGACATTAAAGGGCCAGGGGCAGGGTGGCTAACACTCACAGCGTGTCATCTAGAGGAGTAGGTGGGGACCAAACAAGTCACCAAGACAATAAAGGCAGCTGAGTAGGGGTAAGGGAAAAGTATGGAGAGCAGGTGGAGGAGGCGTGAGCTGGGCTGCTCAAGACAGACTTTCCTGAAGAAGTGACTGCTGAGTTGAAGTAGAGGAGAAGGGTCAGTCCTGGCAGTCAGAGGTCATAAATGGCCGACCTAGAGGGGCGACAGACAACAGAGCAGTGAGCTTTAAGGTGGTGTAAATTTATCTTCAAGTTGAACCAGTTACAGCACCTCTTATTCCAACACATTGTTCATCCAGTTAACTTCACTAGATGCATGGGCAGCTTTTTTTTTTTTTTTGAAAATGCAAACTTTATTTTTTTAAATTAAATTTATTAATTTTAATGAACATTTAGATTTTGGATTTCCATTCATTCATTGTTGCACTAAAACTTTTATATTATTGACAATCAAAAAGGATTCAGATTAAGAGGATGAATTTATCAAAAAGATTACTTATTTAACTTAATAATATTTACCCTTTCCTCAGCATTTGATTAATTCCAGACATGTGACATGCCCCCTGCCCCCACCCCAGTTAGGATGGATATTACCTCCTGTCAGTCAATCCATGGAGTGCATTGATCAGCCTTCAGTTAAACTACCATGCCGTCTCAACAATCAGGGCCCGTTTCTGCTCCTGAAGTCAAATGCTTAGATGAAGGCGTGGCATCTGTGAATCAGTCTATCCATGTTTTATTCTTCCCCACCCAGAGTTTGCTGAAAGAAGAACATAGAATTGTGTCATAAGCAGTCATTCCAGGTCATGCTTTTCAGTTTTGACTTTTGAAGTGACTCTCAAAATTTATTTTTCACTTTCTAACTGATAGGTTATTTGGGGTTTTTTTAAAATTTTTTTTGTTGTATTATTTTTATGTGTACCGTCAAATCAGATCTGACTGGTACAGGAGGAGATTGTCCCCTCCTTCTCCAGCAGAGCATCTGGTGGATTTGAACCACGTACTTCTGGGATTGCAGTGCAGCGTCTTGCCACAAGGCCACCAGAGCTCCCTTCTGACTGATAGGTTATTTGTCAGAAAATAAAAAGTTGTAGTGACTTTAAGAAAAGATTTAAACTGTCAACGATTTCATCTTACTTGAGCCACAATCAGCACCCTTAGTACTAGCAGGTAGGAGATCTGGAGACATTTGCATGGGCAGCTTTTAAACCATTGAAAAGACCTGGAACCTTTTCTTGCACCTAAATAAGAACTGTATGCACCTGCAAATACACGTTACTTGCTGACAAATCCTGAACGACAGAGCTAGGAATGGGTCATGTTTGCACCAGAGGACTGTCTGTACCAGGGACAGAAGAACATTCCAGGTACAGGGAACGGTGCAAAGGCTGGAGGGAGGGAGGGAGCAAACACCGAGTCTGAAAGGAAGGTGAAGACGAGGGTGGGGCCTCATAGAGATGGTAGATCAGTAAGAGCCGTAGATTGGGTGCTGTTTTAGGGGCAAACCTTTGGCTAGCTGCCGAGAATGTGGAGAAACACAGAACGCAGAAGCCCAGGGATGCCAGTGTGCGTAGGTGGTTGTTAGTGGTTGCCAAGTCGATTCTGATTCATAAAAACCCCCTGTTTGCAGAGTAGAATTTTCTAATTGCATCTGCTTGGCCATGACCTTCAAAAAGCAGTTCGCCAGACCTTTTTTCCTGCAAAGTAGCTGATGGACGTCCAATCTGATGACATTTTCAAGAAATGGTTAATTGTCTTTTTAATACTATACCAAACTGCAACAAATGGTGACTTTTTAAAGGTTGGTTGCAGTGTAGAATCAGAAACTGTTTTTCAACTCCTTATTAAATTAAAACCCACTGGTCTGCTATGCAAAGGAGTCATGGTGGTTCTGGGGTTTAAATGCCTTTTAAAAAAATTGGTTAGGGAGGTCTGGTGGCCTAGTGGTAAGAAGCTGTGCTGCAATCATGAAGGTGCACGGTTTGAATACACCAGATGCTCCGCTGGAGAAGGAGGGACAATCTCCTCCTGTGCCAATTGGATCTGACTCAGTGGTACACAACAAGAAAAAGGGGGAAATTTTATTGTGATTTTAATGAAAGTTTACAGAATTTTTGGAATTTCATTCATCCATTCCATCTTTTCCTCCCTTCCCTCTCTGGTCAAAAAAGTGGGCAGTTTGAATCCATCAGCTGCTCTGTGGGAGAAAGGTGTGGCAGTCTACTTCTGTGTATTTTTACAGCCTTGAAAATCCTATAGGACCACTTTACTCTGTCCTGTATAGTTGCTATGATTTGAAACACGCTTCATAACAGTGAGTTTGGGTTTGGGGGTCTGTTTTGCATTTAGAATGGATCTTACCTTTACTTGATCTTATACATTGGCCTTTTGGAAAATACTGGTTCTCCAACTTACATAGTTCATCTATCATGGAACTAAAGTAATCGCATTCATATAATCTCTTCTGAAAAAGCCATTTGTAGTTGCAAGCCTAGGTGGTGGATACGTTTTCCAAAATCCTAGGTTTCACTTGAAAATGCAAATGTTAGCCTTAGCTGTGAATATTGCCAGTAATAATTTTCCTTGAACTGACAGGCTGTCTGACATCATTTTTAAGAGACTGCCTGACTAATGTGTCTGTTAGTCATTCTTTCAAGTGAAAATGTGTTCCCCAGTGCAGTGCCAGCCAGCACCTGGCATCCGCCATCAACTTGAAGCTCAACAGATAGATTTGTGCATAGTTCTTTTCCTGTTACCAGAATGTGATAAAGACAGGCTAGTAATTTCATAAAATTAGCCATGGTTACTGATTTATCAGGGATATGCCTAAATGAAACTGAGGGAGGGTGTCCCCAAACACTTTTCCATCAAGTTGATTCCTCTTCCTAGTAACTCTACATCAAGCTTCCTCGACTAAACCCCGAACCTGAACAGGAGAAGACTGCGTCTTCATTCTCCCTCAGAGTGATTTGAATCAGCAGCAGGTGGATTTGAACTGCCTGCTTTTCAGTTAGCAGTTGAACAATTTAACAGGGATCCGTGTGTGT